GATTCACTGAGGGTTTGGAAGCAGGTGTGAGGAAAAGATGAATCAAGGATGACTCCAGAGTTGCTGAGATAAGGAAGACTGGGAAGGAGCAGATTTGAGAGGGACATTAGGAGTTCAGTTCTGGACATGTTAAATTTGAGATGCCTTCTTTCTTTTTTTAAAAAAAAATTAAACGTTTATTTATTTTTGAAAGACAGAGAGAGTGTGTGTGTGAGTAAGGGAGGGGCAGAGAGGGAGACAGAATCTGAAGCAGGCTCCAGGCTCTGAGCTGTCAGCACAAACCCACGAACCATGAGATCATGACCTGAGCCAAAGTTGGACGCTAACTGACTCAGCCACCCAGGTGCCCCGAGGTGCCTTCTTCATGTCCAAGTAGAGATCACCCTTGGTAATTTCAATATCACTGTGGTTGACTTGATATCCAGGATTAGGGTTGGCAATTCAAATACATTCTGGGGCCAGGCAGAAAACATACGTATTGAAATACAGTAAGGAGAGGTAGGGACTGTGGCTGATCAGAGGGTATATGCCCCATCTAAAGGGGAAAATACTCCTGAGCCCAGTTTAGTTGCCATGTACAGTCTGGGCTCAGTATCCCTAGATTTTCCAATTTCTTAACAGAAAGAAGAATCTGGATTTTTAACAACCAAATCTTAGTGAAATTTAGAAAAAAGGTCCATAGCCTACTATATTCTAGAAGTGTTCAGTTAAAGTTGTAACTCACTCATTATATTAGTTGCCTAATGTATACTAATATACATTAATTTATTAATGCATATTGCAAAAAGAGACCATGTTTAGCATTTCTGTAGCTTATCTGACAATAAAATTCTCTTTTTCATGCAACATCAAGGGGAAAGCATTTTTTGGCATACATTGGGAAATGCTCATTTCTGTATAAAACCTAATTGCCCTTTTTGAAAATTATAGGGCATATATTTCTTGCAGCTTATGAATAATTATTGATATCTCTCTTTGTTTTTGTCTCTCCTTCTCTGTCTCTCTCTCACACACACATACAGAGTTAATTTTGTAAGATGTTCTAACACCGAGTATCAGTCTGGAATGAAATGTAAATGGAACACTTACTAAAGTCTTCCAACTTGTTAAATACTAAGTGGAGACTTTTTTTTTTTTTTTTTACAAATAGTTTATTGTCAAATTAGTTTCCACATAACACTCAGTGCTCATCCCCAAAGTGCCCTCCTCCATGCCCATCCCCCCTCCCCCCACATCCATCAGTCCTCAGTTTTTGTCAGCATTCAAGAGTCTCTCATGGTTTGCCTCTCTCCCTTTCCCCCACCATTTCCCCCCTTCTTCTCCCCCTTGTTCCTCCGTTAAGTTCCTCCTAATCCTCCTATACGTGCAAACATATGATATTTGTCCTCTGCCTGACTTAAATGCTGAGGCATAGGAGCACATGTACCCCAATGTTCATAGCAGCACTCTCCACAATAGCTAATACTAAGTGGAGTCTTAACCCTCTTGTGTTGATGAAGAAACACTTAGTGAAATCACAGGGGTAACTGAATCACTTCATTTCCTAGCTCCTCTCCCTCCTTCACCTTTTGTGCTACATAATTTTGCCACAGGAAGGATGGCCAATTACTACTATGCACTTGGCAGATGTTCTTTTACTTATCTATGAGAAAGGAAGAAGGGAGAGGACAAATAAATCTGGAATGGCAAATCTGTAGTAAGAAGACAAGACGAATACTGCTGCAGCTCTTTAAAAATACCCTCTAGGATATATGAAAATATTTGAAGTGCAAGGCTTGTCTCTGAAAAATTAGAGTACGTCATCTGTTTAAAAGAGATTGCAACACAGTTGAAGAGATCTGTACATAAAAAGATAAACAGCCTGCAAATGTCAAATATTATCGAAAAGTTCTGTAAAAGTTCAGAGAAGGGAGGGGCAACATGGGGTCAAATGGTCAGTAAAAGGTCCCACGAGCCAGTCCTTGAAGCACAGGGAGGTATCAGGTCAAGATAAGTGTCGTGGGAATATTCCGGGCAGGAAAGACAAGGGCAGAGCCAGAGATAAGACAGTTTGGGGAACGATGCACAGACGAGACCGTAGGCAAAAGGAGGACAATGGGACACTGAGGCTGGATCAGGTGTTGGCAGGCGTGGGATACCAAGATAGGAAATCCAGCCTTAGAGTCTTTGAAGGGTTGTGAGCATAAATCTGCCATGTGAAGGAAATTCAATCCCAGGCTATTAGGGAGGCAGAGAGGCAAGAGCACTCTGCAGGATGCCGGGTGGAGGTGGTGAGAGTCCGGGTTAGCGAGCGGACAGTGCACATAGAAAGAAACGATCACATTATAAAGGATGAAATAATCAATAAAATTTGTTCACCTACTGAATGTGGGAGAATCAAAGGAGAAAGGAATGGCTTTGACCCTGGGTCCACGAGAGAATGATTACCCAGACAGCAAATGGGCTTATATGTATTAATTTAAGATGCGGTGGTAAATCTAAGTAGAAATGTCCGATCAATTCATTAGTGAGCTAGAACCAGAACTTGGGAATGACAGGCAAACAATGTGCATTAAGGTATCACTGCATTCTCAGCTATGTGCTAGATCATGTCCTTTATGATTCATTTACATGAATGATGGCCTTCATTTGCATAGATGTCAGTTAAACCAGGAGAATGGTGACATTTAATGAAGACTAATTTATCACACCTTCTCTATGTCCCTTCACTATGAAAATAGACACACACAAAAAACAGATGCTTATAAAACCCAGTGCCTCATATTACATCACAGGATCACTCAAAATTTCCAATTTCCATAAGATAATACTGGATGTTAGTAAGTGATTGAGATAGGGAAGGAAAAACAGAACTGTAATTGTTCTTTATTCTCTCCCCTGAGAGAAATGAACAGACACAAAACAGGAGACAGGAAGGAAGCAGAGGAGAAAGTATTTTGGGAGAGTTTGCACCTACTGAGATGAACAAAAACTAAAGTAAGCTCTCCTTAAAGATAACAACCATTTGAACATTGTCTTACTTTTCTAAAATTCATTATCAATTTACAGTCATGCTACTTTATTCCCATCATAAAACTTGTCATTCACAAGCCAGCCAGGAGTCCATATTCCTCCTTCAGACTCCCTCTGCAGCCCCGGGTCTCAGTTTTTTCCCTGTTGTTTTGCACGGTGGCCCTGGAGCTCAGGTGCAACAGGCAGATCAACAATGTATGACAGATGTTTCCGCAGCCCTCATCAGTCTTTTCCATTTGCCACAATTCTCCAGGGTGACCTGGGTCGATCCTGTCCTTCCCTCAGTAGCTGGGAAGGCCACGCTGCTTAAAATGTCTCTCGGTTGAAATGCCCAGGGCAAGGGAAAAATGGAGAAGCCATAACAAGAAAGGACAGAGAGGCGGGTAAAGGAGAAACAGGAATCGCAAACATAGAAAGCATCTCGGCATATAGTTGTTATTTAATATAAATGTGCTTTCTTTCATTTACGGTACTTCTGCTTTCTTTTGCTATACGGATGCAGCGCAGTAAACGTTATAATTGTGTGTAATCACAGATTTAGTTAATTCTATAACTGCTTCTCCTGAACCAAACGTAGACGTCCTGTTTGAACTCTATAATGGAGGACACCAATGTCAAAAATACCCACAGCATGGGGCGCCTGGGTGGCTTAGTTGGTTAAGCTTCCGACTTTCGCTTAGGTCATGATCTCACGGTTCGTGGGTTCGAGCCCTGCATCGGGCTCTGTGCTGACTGCCAGCTCAGAGCCTGGAGCCTGTTTCAGAGTCTGTGACTCCCTCTCTCTCTGACCCTCCCCTACTCATGCTGTCTCTCTCCTAGAAATAAATAAAAAAACATTAAAAAAAAAAATACCCACAGCAGAAAAACCTGCCTTACAATCTATGAAAGATACACATGTAAGAAATCTCCGATTCTTACAGATTCCCCAGGAATCTCTTGCTGGAAATGGGGGAGGGGGCGCTGGGAAGGTCTACAGACTGAAGGTTCCCTAAGGGACCCTCCTCCCCCAGCCGTGCTTCCCCCCGTCTAGAAGAATGAATTCATACCTGGATTGGCTGTCTCAAGACCCAAGTCTGTACGTACTATGGACCATGAACTACTTCGTGTTCATATTTCTAGAAACTAGGCAATATATCTTGAACACTTAACAGGGAGGAAAACCCCTGCAAGAATAATTTACTCAATGAATATCCCTCACAAGGAGCATTTTTATAAAAGGTCAAGTAAATCTGTTTATTGTGAATTTCTAGTTACACAACAAAAATGCTATCGCAAGATACGTCATAACGGCAAAGAGCAATACTCAGACATGTGCTGGGCACAACAGCTGCCTGTTTTGACAAGGACAAAACCCATATGGCTGATTCCTCCACAACCAGTGGCCACATAGAACGGCCACTGACGTAGCAACAAAGTAATTCATTAAACAAAAACAATGACAGGAATTGGCTCAATGGGGGTAATGAAACAAGAATTTATTTTCTCTATCGGCTCTAAGCATCTCCTGAGCTTTCACTGCCCTTAATTCCCCGATACTACAATTTTATTTGTATCCTAATTCCTGAATCTGACTGTTAATGAGATTCCATGAAACTCCAAACAGAAGTTCGTGCTGGGCAGGCCAGTGATAGACTTGTAGGAAGAAGGCCTTTGGCAGGCTCACATCCCTTTCCACCTTCACGAATAGAGACAGCAGAGTGTTCAGGTTCCTGAAGCTGCTCCCCCTCTTCAGGTGCCCAGTGAGGAGGACAGCAGGGCTCTTCCTAGCCACCCTGCCTGTGGTCTACACTAACAAAGGATCCTAAATAACAGACAAACAAGAGCAAGATCTTCATGGCATCATCATGTAGATCTACAGAAAACAGTGAGCCTTCCTGTGGAATAAAAATATTCACAACAAAATTTCAGGATTAATTAGCAAGCCCACCATATCCTAATGGTGCTGTATTTGCATAAGATGAAGTGCACTTTGGACCATATTCTCTTACCTGCCGACTTTCCCTATGGGAGGGTGTCGAAGAAGAGGCACTTCTGTGGGTTGGAGTGGATGTTTTATGAGCAGGGGATATGCCCTTCTCGTCTGAACTCATAGCTGCAGTTAGAGTCTAGTTGTATACGCTTAAGACCATCCCAGTCGTGTCTCCAATTCACAGACAAAGAAGTAGATGATTTTTCAGTTTCTGTTCCATTTCATGAATAAGGTTTGACTAGAAAAGAGAAGGCAAAAAGTGAAGGTGTCCAAAATACCTATAAGCAAAACCAGCAAGAAAACATGTAATTAAAACACAAACACAAAGTCAGTATATTTAGGGAAAAATACCAACACGTTTGTGAGAGGAAGAACTCTGACACATTAGGAAATATTATTTCTTCCTCTAGATTTTAAGTGGAGGCTAAAAGTGTTAATATGAAAAAGAAGTCAGTCAACAAGGAAAATGGGAAGATGCCATATGCTGAGGTCATATTCTTCCCCACCACTCTCTTTGTTTTAAAACAGATTACATGGTCCCTCAGGCCAAAGTATGTCAGTTTCCTCCCCTGAGAGTTAAATTCCCCTGCCCACTGGATTATAGTAAGAGCTCAGTCCATGTCTGACTTCAGTTGAATTCAGCCAAGTCATATATGTGATGTTAAATCCAACAGAAAACAGATACAAAAGGCAAAAGGGTTCACACATTTTGTGCATTTTATGATCCAGGATTTCGGAAGGATCAAGAATACATGTACCCACAGTTATGTGTACCTCAAGATCACATCTTGTACCTCAAGAGCACATCTACGTATGATTCTCAGCCTCAAAACCAACAGGGTTCCAAGTATCTACAGATTGACAGGCACGTTCTGAAACTAGATAATGCTCAGATTTGCTTCCATTTATCCCCAACCAAGATCCACTTCATTTTTCACTTGGATACTTAGAAGGGCACCTGGGTGCCTCAATCAGTTAAGTGTCTAACTCTTGGTTTCTGCTCAGGGCATGACCTTGAGGTTCATGAGTTTGAGCCCCGCACTGGGCTCTGTGTTGGCAGTGTGGAGCCTGCTTCAGATTCTCTCTCTTCCTCTCTGTGTCCCTCCCCTACCCCCCTTCTCAAAGTAAATAAACATTAAATAAATAAATAAATAAATAAATAAATAAATAAATAAAAGGATACTTTGATAGCCATGAGGAGAACCAAATTGAGGAAATACAGAAGGTGAGGGAGACCCAATCAGGAAGCAAGAGACAATGGATTAGAGAGGTGGCAGGAAATAGGAAATTCAGCATCCAGTCCTGGCAGTTGTAACAGGACTGGGAGGGGGGCACAGGGGAAGAGGAGAAAGCAGGATTGAGGAAGACTCCTAGGTTTCTGGTATTCTGAGTGAGGTCTGACCATAGGAAATCCAGGATTGATAGAAAGTCATGAGTATGGTTTCAACCCAATGAGTTTCAGGTATATCTGAGGCATTCAAATAGAGATACACACTTGGAAATGCAGTCTCTAGCTCAGAGAAATTTAGGCTGTAGACAAATGTTAAATACCTTGTTTCTGCTATAAATGTATTGTGTGACTTATGTACAGATCATGTAAACTCTGAAAGTGCATTTTATACAGGCCTACAAATAGTTAATATTTTCTAAATCTACAACAGTACATTAATGGATTATGTGACCCTGAATGTGTTAATCAGGATTTTAATGGTCACCTGGTTATAGAGAAGACTCAAAAGAACAATCCCAATAATTAAAAGGCAAATTATTATAAATTGGGAAAACTGGATTCTTTAGCAAATAAAACTTAGAATCCTTTCTTCAGATTTCAACTTCATTGTCACCACCAACCACTTGTCTCCCAAACTGGAAAACTTTCTCTTGAAACAAAACTAGTCTTTGAATTAACTCCAAAGAGTAAGCAGCAGTGTTCTTTCCTTGGCTGGAGATGAGGTTCCATTTAGTATTGTGAAAAGGAAGTGATATGCTGACATTCGACAGATGATCATCTAATCCTTTTGTTTTGTGAAGGCAGTCTAGTAAGTGTGAGTTAAATTTCTCAAACCAAGCTCTGATGCCAGCAAACAGAAAGCAAGAACGCTGCTCAGGCCTCTGATTTGAAGTACTTTCTGGCTCAAGATGTTTTACAAGATGCTGATACTTGAGCTAAAAATATGGAGGTTCTGTGAGGTATTCAAGGGCCTCCAAGGGATGAGGTTGAAACAACCAAACCAATTAGACTATTATCCATTTGGAAGTAAATTCAATCCAAGCTTCATCAAGAGCCAACATTTCCTCTTTTGAACTTTTTTTTTCTTAATTGCGCCCAACTCCCAACTGCACTTTCCCCATTAATACATACCAATGCTAACATCTTGGTTTTTAATTTAAAATGACATTTTCAAGGTAACTTGTTGATGATGAAAGCACAACCTTTTGGTTGAATTACAATTATGAATATCTTGAAGAATACCAAGAATAAGAAAAGGAGATTAAGAGAATTTAATTCATTCCAAGAATCATTTTTGACATTACTGTCATTTCTATTAATTTCTGAGTTTCTTAACAAAGAGGATTTCAAGTACCTAAAGTTGAATGAGATGGTCTTTAAAGTTCATTCCATTCTGATTATCAATCAAGTGTTTGATTACTTGTTCTTTTTCAAAGTGTATTACAAAAGTTAAGTCTAAATTCTATTAGTAGGTTATACCTATTTACTCCTAGAGTATAAGAATTAGTGAGACATTAAAAAAATTATTTCATCTCTATCAAAGCACATTTTCAGAAACTGCCTAAACAAAATCCCAAGCTAAAGAAAGACCATAGATTTTATTTTATTTATTTTTTTGAAAGACCATACATTTTAAAATCAATACCAACATAATTCCTATACTCAATGAGAAAAATATTGTTGCTGCAAGTAACAACAATACAAGAGCTGAACATCTGATTTTCCGGTCTTCTTCCCCATTCACATCAGTGGGATCACTACAATTGTTTGTAAGTGCTCTAACATTTGCATTTACACCGAGTGACATAAAATTCAGATTTACAACCCAGAGACCTAACTAAAGCATGAGGTGGCAGGGAGGATTTCTAGAAACTGCTGTTCAGAGGCATTATAAATTGTATGTGTTCAGAAAAACATCTAAAAACAGACTAGCCTATGTCTGCTAGGCTAAGTTGTGACGTGGTAATACACAACCCCCAAATCTAAAGGGCTTACAAGAAAGATTTATTTACATGTTTCCTTTACATGTCCTATAGAGGTCCTGTAAAGGTCAGCTGCAGCTCTGCTCTGTATCCTCTTCATTCCAGGCTTTAAGAGCAACCCCCAAGTGAGGAAGGGAAAACAGCCAAGGCAGAACCATGAGATGGGTCTTAAAGTGTTAGCTTGTCAGCAGAACATGTTACTTTCACTCACATCTCATTGGCCCAAACAGGTCACATGGCCAAATTAAGGTTAATTATGCATGAAAGTATAAAGCATCCCATATAAGGCAATGAAAAAATACTTGGGGGCAATAATCTACTATATTCACCATAGAAAAAGGTTAAAAGCTCAGATATACATATTTTAATTGACTCTAGTTTCATCAACCTAAAAATAACCCCAGTTAGCATTTGATTCTACTTTAACCAAAGTAGGAAAATAATGTCCACTCTATCTGAAATATGGTTTTTCTTCTTAAATAGTTTATTGTCAAGGTGGTTTCCATATAATGCCCAGTGCTCATCCCAACAAGTGCCCTCCCCCATGCCCATCAGCTCCCTTCCCTTTTCCCCCACCCCCATCAGCCCTCAGTTTGTTCTCAGCATTCAAGAGTCCCTCATGGTTTGCCTCCCTCCTGCTCCCCAACTATTTTTCCCCTTCTTCTCCCCCATGGTCCTCCGTTAAGATCCTCCTAATGCACCTATATGTGCAAACATGCTTTTTTCAACCAACAATATTGGTAAAAGCCTTCTTTGTGAACAAAGGAACTTCAGTATCATGGCTCTTTTTAAAACAGAATTTTGGGGGAGTGGTCACCTGGGTGGCTCAGTCTGTGGAGCATGAGAATTCAGCTCAGGTCATGATCTCACAGTTTGTGGGTTTGAGCCATGCATCAGGCTCTGTGCTGACAGCTCAGAGCCGGGAGCCTGTCTTCGGATTCTGTGTCTCCCTCTTTTTCTGACCCTCCCCTGCTCACGCTGTCTCTCTCTCTCAAAAATAAATAAAACATTTAAAAAATTTTTTTAAAAATAAAACAGCAAGATTCCTCTTCCTAGGGTGCATATTGAATTTAAATTTTTTTAATGTTTATTTTATTTTTGAGAGAGAGACAGAGCATAAATGGGGAGGGGGGGCAGAGAGAGAGGGAGACACGGGATCTGAAGCCAGCTCCACCCTCTGAGCTTCAGCACACAGCCCGACACCGGGCTTGAATTCACGAACTCTGAGATCATGACCTGAGCCAAAGTCGGACACTTAACCAATTGAGCCACCCAGACACCCCTCAGTATCACGGCTCTTAATCACTACGCATAAGGCTATCACATAGATATACTATGATACATTTATATTTTTCTACTAGGACAGTTAGGTTATATTCTGTATATTTTGAAACAATAAGATTTATGATGGGAGAGTTCATAATAATTCTGTTTGCTTTTGATTACTCTAAAATGACCCTCTTTGTTCATTTCAATACTTTTTTGCTTTATTTGATATTATCTGCTCTTTCTTGCAAGTGATTAATGAAATTTGTCCATACTCTTACATTTACAGTTTCTGTATAAGTTTGTATTATGTATTCCTCTAGTAATGATCATGTTGAGTTGTTAAAAAACATCTAATATTAGCGATATTTTTCCTATTTCTGTTTAATGTTATAACGAATAGTTGGTCTCATCCCTGCCGTATCATGCTACGCTTTCTATTTTATGGTTCTTTGTTTCTTTCAATGCTTGATGGCTTTTCCTTTATAATCTGCTTTTCCTTACAATACTGATTTTAATAAGGTGTTAACTTGAGTTTTATGTTTGCCATTAATGTGAAAGATAAAATTCCCCTTTTAATGTTCTCTTTCCCTTCAAATTTCTCTAAATCCTGTTGGAACCTACAGTCTGTAAGTGATAGTCAAGAGTAACATGGTATCGTTCTAAACGCCCCTGTAATATAAAACCTCCTCCACACCACTCCACATCAAAATTTTCTTTTCCTAGTCCTTTTCCCAATCTTGGTGGTTTAATTTGAAG